GATCACATTTATCTGTCATGAAAAAAAAAGGCTTTGGTAGTCTGCCAGCATTCTGGGATTTCTGTCCTTGTGTTTTACCCGCAAGTGTTGATGCTACCCCATTCAGATCTCCCATTAAAATTAATTTATAATCCAAATATTCCATAAATTTTAAATCCAGATTCTTGAAAAATTCTACTTTGCCATCATTCGGTGCATAAATTCCCAACAAAAGAAATTTATCGCCTTTTGCTGTAATTTCAACTGCAACTGCAATGCATCTCCCCTCCTCATCCTTAAATAGAATTTTGGGATTCCATTTTTCTTTAACATAGAAAACCACTCCTCTTCTTTTAACTTTATCTGATTAAATAAATTCTTGTCCAAGTTTCTTATTTTGAAGGATCTTTCTATGAAGTCTAATAACATGTGTTTCTTGTAAGCAAATTATATCCCGATTCTGTTTTACCAAAACATTGTAAACTTGCTTTCGTTTTCAGCTGAATTCAAACCATTTACATCCCAGAAGTAAATTTTTAAAGCCATCTTGACTTTTTAAGGAGTCGCTGCCCCTGCCCCCAATGGATGGGAGCTTTCCAGTCCAAGTTCCTTTGCGTTTTTCTCCAAGAATCTCTCTTTCTCCCCAACAGTCTGTCTCCCTTGAAATTTGAGACACCTTCCAGGAACTCCCACCTAAAAAAGATGTTTTTCCTTCTTAGAGCACTGCTGGCCAATTCTGTGTAGTTATTTCTCAGGGCCAAAAAATGTTTCGGGATCTCTTTAAACAAAATAATCAATTTGTCCTCAATCTTTAAACTTTTTTTGTAGTGGTGGCCTAAAATAATATCTCTTTGCTCTTTGGTCTTAAAAATTACCATACAGTGATGTGTAAGCTTAGAGTCCTTTTTTGGTCCAAATCTATAGGCCTTATCAATCCAGGAATTTCATTCTTCTTTTGGAAGATCCCAACAAGCTGAAAATTCATCAATTAGCCAGTCCTTCAAATTGTCCTCCTCTTTCTGTGGTACCCCTCTCAATCTCAAATGGCTTTCCCTCTCTTTCAACTGTAGAAATGCAATTGAATTTGAGGCTTCTTGCTGTGCTCTCTCCAGGTCAGAAACTCTCACAGTTTCCAATTGTGTCAATCCTAGTTCATGACCTGATATATCTGTCTTGTTGTTTAGTCGTTTAGTCGTTTCCGACTCTTCGTGACCCCATGGACCAGAGCACGCCAGGCACTCCTGTCTTCCACTGCCTCCTGCACCCATCTTGTCCTCTGTCGTCCCCTTCTCCTCGTGCCTCCATCTTTCCCAACATCAGGGTCTTTTCCAGGGAGTCTTCTCTTCTCCTGAGATGGCCAAAGTATTGGAGCCTCAGCTTCATGGATCCTTCATGGATCACTGCCTCCCCTTCATGGATCACTGCCTTGCCGTGGCGAAGGGGCTTGAATAACTCAGAGAAGCTATGAACCATGCCGAGCAGGGCACCCAAGATGAACAGGTCATAGTGGAGAGTTTTGACCAAACGTGATCCACCTGGAGGAGGAACCGGCAAGCCACTCCAGTATCCCTGCCAAGAAAACTCCATGGACAAAGACAACAGGCATATCTGTCTTAACCCTTGTCTTAACCCCTTTCAACTCTTGTCTCAAATCTGCAGTCTTTTTTTAATTCCTGTATGCTCTGTTGATTGCATCTTACTTCTGTTTTAATTTCCTGTAGCAGTTGCATCACAGCCTCTTCAAAAGTTGGAGCCTTAGAGCCCCTCCTTTGCTTTGTTTTCTCTGCCTTTTCTCCTTTCTCTCCCCCATCCATGGCTTTTTACTTTTTATCCAAGGTCAGTCTCAGTCACACGGGGGAGATAAGGAGGCAGACAGATTCCCTCCACAAGCCTCAATATAAAAGTCAGCGATATCTCCTTTCCCAAATTTCCTTTTACCCCCTTTTAGTCCTCAAATGGAGCTCCCCCAAAAATACTGTCAGTGCTCAGTTTTGCAGGGTTCTTAAAGTCAAAAAAATTCATCCCCTCCCCTTCCAGAGAGAGGAAGATACCCCAATAATTATATTCCTCTAGTCCCAGGAATTCTCATTTAATCTTCTAAAGTGTGTTTCCAGAGACTTCTAGACGACAAAGAGGGAGGAGGAACCACCATACTGGTTCAAATGTCCTCTCCTGTGGTGGGAAATTCCATGGCCAGGCTAACCGTTTCTCATGCTTTTTTGAATGTGGACATTCCATCGGCTGAGGCAGGTGGGCATTGGAAGAGCACGGAACATGGGAGAGAGCAGCTGTTTGCTATTCTCGATGTGGATCAGGACCACTTATTGCTGGAATCCTGGCCAAGAGGGCTAACCTAGGCCACATTCACACTGTGGGTTTAAAGGGGAATTGTGAAGGAAGAGTATACATGAGTAGCCAACAGTGACAGGGGGAAAGGGCAGGCACCAATACCAAGAAGGCCCTCTGCCTGGTTCCCTGTAACTTGGCTTCTCGCAGCGAGGGAACCACCAGAAGGCCCTCAGTGCTGGACCTCAGTGTCCAGGCAGAACGATGGAGGTGGAGACGCTCCTTCAGGTATACTGGACCGAGGCCATTTAGGGCTTTAAAGGTCAGCACCAACACTTTGACTTGGGCTCGGAAACGTACTGGGAGCCAATGTAGGTCTTTCAGGAGGGAGTTTGGCTGAGTAGAGGATTCCATACTCGCACAGATCCCAAGTTTATACACAGTGTGATTGCAGAATTGTGGGTCACGCATGTTGCCCAACCATGTTCCTCCTTTTCCAGATCTTCTATGCTGCCTCCTTCTTGTATACTGTCAATTACACCTGGCACCTTTACATAGACCTGAAGATGAAATACAACCAGAATCTACAAAACCGGCCACCCCCAGGTAAATTTCTTGCTGCTGTTGTGGCATACATAAAGAAAGTTCTATCCTTCTTTGGCACCAATTGGCCGACCATGCCCAGGAGAAAGGCCTCTGGTTTCTTCAGGAAGGTATATTTAAATACCTTTTTCATTTCATTATAGATCATCTCCCAGAAAGCCTTAATCCTTGGGCACGTCCACCAAAGGTGAAAGAATGTACCTTCAGTTTCTTTACATTTCCAACATTTATTATCGGGCAAATGATAGATTTTTGCAAGCTTGACTGGTGTCATGTACCACCTGTATATCATTTTCATAATATTCTCTCTTAAGGCATTACATGCCGTAAACTTCATACCTGTGGTCCATAACTGTTCCCAGTCAGCCATCATAATGTTATGTCCAACATCTTGTGCCCACTTAATCATAGCAGATTTCACCGTTTCATCCTGAGTATTCCATTTCAACAGCAAGTTATACATCCTTGACAAAGTCTTAGTTTTGGGATCTAACAGCTCTGTTTCCAATTTTGATTTTTCCACCTGGAATCCAATTTTCTTGTCCAAATTATATGCCTCCATTATTTGATAATAATGAAGCCAATCTCGCACTTTGTTTTTTAGTTTTTCAAAACTCTGCAATTTCAATTTATCTCCCTCTTGTTCCAAAATTTCCCAATATTTCGGCCATTTGGCCTCCATATTGAGCTTTTTCTGAGCCTTCACTTCCATCGGTGACAACCACCTTGGGGTTTTGTTTTCAAGTAAGTCCTTATATCTTATCCAGACATTAAACAATGCTTTCCTGACAATATGGTTTTTAAATGCTTTATGTGCTTTGACCTTATCATACCACAAATATGCATGCCATCCAAATACATTATTAAAACCTTCTAAATCCAAGATGTCTGTGTTTTCAAGAAGCAGCCATTCTTTCAACCAGCAGAAAGCTGCTGATTCATAATAAAGTTTAAGGTCTGGCAGGGCAAATCCACCTCTTTCCTTTGCGTCCGTTAGTATTTTAAATTTTATTCTAGGCTTCTTGCCCTGCCAGACAAATCTAGAAATGTCTCTCTGCCACTTCTTGAAACAATCCATTTTGTCCAAAATTTGCAATGTTTGAAACAGAAATAACATTCTTGGCAATACATTCATCTTTATCGCAGCAATGCGGCCTAGCAGTGAAAGCTTCAAGTTTGACCAAATTTCTAAATCTTTTTTCACTTCCGTCCAGCATTTTTCATAGTTGTCTTTAAATAAGTTCCCATTTTTAGCTGTCATGTTAATCCCCAGGTATTTCACTTTCTTAACCACTGTTAAACCTGTCTCGTTCTGAAACCTCTCTCTCTCAATCGCTGTTAAATTTTTCTCTAAAACCTTTGTTTTTAGCTTATTCAGCTTAAATCCTGCAACCTGACCAAATTCTTGAATCAGTTCCAAAACTCTTTTAGTACTAGATTCTGGCTCCTGTAATGTCAATACTAAGTCATCTGCAAATGCTCTCAGTTTGTACTGTTTAGCTCTGACTTGTATGCCTTTACCCAATTGGTCCCTTCTAATTATATTTAAAAGGACCTCCAGGACCGATATAAAAAGCAATGGGGAAATTGGGCAACCTTGTCATGTCCCTTTTTCTATCTTAAATTCCTCCGTAACCACATTGTTAACAATTAATTTGGCCTTTTGTTCAGAATAAATTCTCCCAGAGACCATTTTCACAGTTCAAGGGCACATTTGAGCCCAGCACCAACTCTTGAGGACAGAGAAAAGGGCTACTGGGGATGTAGCCTGTGGAATGGGGGCCCCCAGCCTGGGACTCCTCAAGCAGACATGGCAGACTGGGAGGCGACCCTGGCAAGAGCCTGGCTGTGGTCCCTGTCACCATAGGTAAGCAAGACTGTCTTTGGTGGAAAGCAAAGGAGGTCCTCCTTCCCAGAGCCATGGGCAACCTAAGGAGGAAGAGGAAAGGTGGGGCATTTACATCCCCTTCGCAGAAGCCGCTCATGGTAACAGCTCCCGAATTGTTTTGAGAGGTCCTTACAGACGCAGCGTACCAAACACTCCTTAAAGCCAGGAACTTATCAATAGATATATAAGATTAGACTATTCCATTTTGAAGGTACAGTCCTTGCAGAAAAACTACAACATAAAGTCAGGTTACAAATAATTTACCTGAAATTATACATTGCTTTTAGACAACTTCTGCTGTTGGTTATGGACAGGGAGAGGACGAGAGAGGGAGAAAGGGAAACCAACTTTCTCTCTTTCCCTCTCTTGCTCTTCAGTCCTTTATTTCATTTTAAAAACAAGAACTCCAGTGGGGGAATACTGTAAGTAGCAACTAAGGGTGGGGGGACTGTTTCTCTCTGCCCAAGCTAGCGTGGAGGGCAAGCATAGCATCCTGTGCTGCCTCTCCAGCCAGAACCCGGCAGCCAAGGAGGACAGCCGAGACCAGCCTTCTCCACCTGGTGCCCTCCAGTTGTGCTGGACTCCTGCTCCCATCAGCCATTGAGCAGGAGCCGTGCCGCATGGGGCTGATGGGAAGGTGTAGTGCAAAACATCTGAAGTGCACAGGCTGGGGAAGGCTAGTCCAGAGGGAAATGCAACAGCAGCTGCTCTTCTAAGCACGAAGACAAGGAGCCAGAAGGAGCAGTTAGAGGAGGAATGGCGGTCCTTGAGGACTTCCTTCCACCCAGCAGGCCTTCTTGGGTAAACTGCAGCAAAATGCTGCAGATCCTCCATGCACTGCAAGCATTCACAAGGTGGGAGACTCAGTGCCTGGAATGCCGGCAGATTGATGGGCCAAATCCTGTTGTCCCATCCCCAACCACTCAACAGCTTACGTGAGGAGTCACTTAAACGCCAGTATTTGGGAAACACCAGCACGGGGTCGGAATGGCTCCCGCCCCAGTTCCCACCTGCGCAAACTGTTTTTTAAACCTGTGTTGGATTGAAGAACTAGAGACGCAAAGCAAGGGGGAAGAGAATGAAACTTTAGGTGAAAGTGGCCAGGAGACAGGCATCCTCTGGGAAGGAAGGGTTGCTTGGCAGAATAGCAGCATTTCCTGGGTTGGCACAGACAGAGCCCACCACCTGATCGCTATGGGGACCCACTTTCTGGAAAGAGGGCGAGCAGTGCAATCCTGGCAAGACAGAGCTCTAGGGAGTGTGGACTTTGGCACAATTTGGGGAGGATGGTTTGATGCCCTGCCTGGCGCCAGGTGAGACTCACGGCTGCTTCAAATGCCCTTGGAGCCTGGCGCTGGCGTTCAGAAGACCAGCAAGGCGGGTGTGCTTGGAATGTGGGAGGAGCAAGTTTCAGGTCCTGGAGTCAGGCCTGGCATGGCGGCTGGGTGCAGCTACAGTCCAAGGCAGGAAGCGCAAGAGCTGCAGAGGGAGGCTGGTGGGTGGGGGTGCCCCAGAGCCAAGCGCTGGAGCCACCAGTGAAAGCCTGGTGTGGGGACTAACAAACTGAAGTGTGCCTGGAGGGTGGGTGGAATGTACACATGAGACCTCTGGGTGGAAGGGAGATCTGTTGCACGTGGGGAGGAAAAGATCAACACAGTCAGTGGAGCAGAGGGAACGCTGTTGCAATGACACCCTTGCCGGTCCCTGCTCACACCGACTCCCGCAAAAGTAATCCAGTCCGTAGGCACAGGGTGGCTGTTCTCTGCCGTTCACAGTCTTAGAGATTCCCGCCCCCCCCAAACTCAACCACCCTTTGTCCGTCAAGTGCTGCTCAGAGGACGTCCTGGGTGCTGCAGCCGGGTCAGAGCACCAGAAGCAACCCAAGAGGCTGCTGGCCAGTTTCCTCACAGTTCCAGGAGTCTCTCTGGGACACAGGAGCCAAAGGGAAAGGTTCCTCGGAAGGACGGGTGGACTCCAGGAGAAGGCGACCGAGATTTCAGAGGGGGCCTCCCGAGACCCCTTGCCCCCAAATCCTCTAGCGGGTCAGACCCCTGTGCTCTGGCTCTCCTCTTCCAGAAGGTTGAGCTTGCTTCTGCTTTTCCCTGGAATGGGGGGGGGGTGGCAAGGAAGAGAAAGAATGGCAATGTTTATACCCCATCGTTGCTGGGCTCTCGGTGGTTTGGCAACAAAGAACTGAGCCATGAGCAGGAACTGAGCATCCTGTATGAAAGAAAGTGTAATGGGGAGCCTGCAGCTCTCCAAATGGGACCTCAGGACTGGAAGGCCCTCTCTTTGGCCCTCTGCTCTCTCCCCAGGCTTAGCCCTCACCCTTCTTGAGCTCCAATCCTGCCTCTTGCTTGTCTTTTTGTTTGAATGAATGGAGAGGTGTGTGCAGAAAGCAGCCCACAGCGGTCGCTCTGCTCACCTTTGCCTCTGGCTCAAGGTGGCATGCTTTCCATCCTCATAGCAAGCAACAGCCCTGCGAGGGAGGTTAGGCACTGAGAGGAAGCCCAAGGCTACCCTGTACGCTTCATGGCTGAGCTGAGATGTGAACCTGGGTCTTGGCAGTCTGAAATGCCAACCACTTGGCCACCCTGGTTCTTTCAAGCACACCACTGCCTTCAAGGAGAAGCAACCAGGGTTCAAATTCCCACTCAGCCATAAGCGGTCTTGGGCCAGTCACTCTGCCTCTCAGCCTAATCCCACCTCACAGGGTTGTCGTGGGAATTAAATGAGGAAGGTGGGGGGGGGGGGAGAACCATGTGACCTCCTTGGGAGAGAAAGGTGCAAGAAATAAATAAATAAGAAATAAGTTGAGATTCTAGGAAAGCTGAGTATCTTGTCCAATGCCAATTTCTCTGCTCCCACAAAATTGGAACACACACACACACAACCCCGCAAATATGGTTGTGCATGGTGGTGGTGGTGGTGGTGGGGGGTAGGATAATACAGTCAGCCAGTTCACCAAGTTCTTGCATAACACAGTGTGGCAAATACCCACTTGATAAACTACCACCTGTACTCTTGCCATGTGAAGAGTGGAGACACGCTTTAGCCCTGGGAATGAGACAGATTCTCTCTCTCTCGAGTCTCGCTGAAGGGAGGAGGAAAGCAGCCTAGCATGGAATCAGAACGGTGAAATCCAACCCCCGCCCCCCCCGGGATCTCCCCTGCCCTCTTGCAAGGTGGGCCCACCCCTTCCTCCCCTGCACAAAAGAGCCACATCTGGTTAAGGTGGGAAAGGCAGGATTGGGGGGGGGGGCAATTAGCGATCCAACAGACAAAGGTCTGGTTTGCAGATGCTACAAAAATTAGATGGTAGAAAGAACTGTTCCACTTTAGGGTGCAGCCAGGAGGGTCGGTGCTGCCCTCGTTAAACAACAAACCCAAACCCCCGCAAGCAGAAAACCTGCGGAAGAGAAGAAGTAAGGGAAGCATGCAAATTGGCACCTCCCACTTGCAGTCTGACATGATACAATCATTCTACTACTTCTGAGTAGACCTAACCTAAGAGGGGTGCTCTTAATGACCCATCCATCAGGCCAGGGGTTGATTAGTTGAGCCTTTCCCCCTGGCAGCTCCCTCCTGATGAGATGCAGATTCCGTGGGGAAGGAGGGGAGGAGTAACCCAGTTAGTCCCTACGGTGACTGGGTCATTAAATAGTTCTGCTTGTCCTACAGCAATCACCCAACTGGGAGACTAAACAAGGACTAGGCAACCTATGGCCCTCCAGGTGTTGCTGACCATGAGCCATGGAGATGGGGCTGAAGGACCCACAGAGGGCCTGCTGCTGTCCCTTCCCCTGGGTCCAGAGGGCACTGCAAGGAGGGCAAATGCAGGAAGGGAACCAACTGGATATATTTACCTTGTGGTTTTCAAACAAAAAAGGCACTCCAGACTATGGCAGAGAGGCCTGTATTAAATGCAGTTCTCAATTGTGCCAAAGAAAGAGAGATTGAGCGGGAAGGCTGGAGGGAGAAAGGAAGAAAGAGAAGAGGAGAGATGGCAGTGTTTAGCTCCTGGAAGGACAGTGCAGAAGAAAACGCGTGGAAAGGAAAGACATACAGCTTTGCTGGGCAAGGAGCCCCACTGACAATGGCCCTGTGCTCCTGCATCCAGACCAAGCGCCGCCTCCTCACCTTCACTGCCTCCCCCACCTGCCTGTCTCTGAGCTCTTATGTCCCCAGATGACAGATACAGCCCTGCCTGCGACTGTCATGTCTTTCTGTGTCTCAGGCTCATTGTCAATGCCTGGGACTGCCTCCCAGAAAATCAAGCCTCCTCTCCCTTCCTTCTTTCAAACTCCTCCCTTGAAAACCCACCTCCCCTTTTCATGAAGCCCTTGGTAAACACCCCTGATCCCCATGCCCTTTGGCAGCCTTCGCCAACCAGGTGCCCCCTGCCAGATGTTTTAATAATAATAATAATAAATTTTATTTATATCCCGCCCTCCCCAGCCGAAGCCGGGCTCAGGGCGGCTAACAACAATAAAACAGTACAAAAGTACAGCATAAACAACATTCTAAAATCATTCATTATAAAAATTAATTAATTCAAGCCACTGGCAACCATTGGGCCAGAGCTCCACGAAGATTGCCGAGGGAGGGAGTCAGGCTGTGCCCTGGCCAAAGGGCTGGTGGAACAGCTCTGTCTTGCAGGCCCTGCGGAAAGATGTCAAGTCCCGCAGGGCCCTAGTCTCTTGTGACAGAGTGTTCCACCAGATCGGAGCCACAGCCGAAAAAGCCCTGGCTCTAGTTGAGGCCAGCCTAACCTCTCTATGGCCTGGGACCTTCAAGATGTTTTTATTTGAAGACCGTAAGTTTCTCTGTGGGGCATAGGTACGAGGGTCCTAGGCCATATAGGGCTTTAAAGGTTAAAACCAGCACCTTAAACCTGATCCTGTACTCCACCGGGAGCCAGTGCAGCTGGTATAGCACCGGGTGAATGTGATCTCACAGCGAAGACCTCGTAAGGAGTCTCGCTGCAGCATTCTGCACCCGCTGGAGTTTCTGCGTCAGTCTCAAGGGCAGCCCCACGTAGAGCGAGTTACAATAATCCAGTCTGGAGGTGACCGTCGCGTGGATCACAGTGGCTAGGTCAGGGCGAGAGAGGTAAGGAGCCAACTGCTTAGCTTGGCGGAGGTGGAAAAATGCCGCCTTTGTTATAGCTGCAATCTGCGTCTCCATGGAAAGGGAGGTGTCGAAGATTACACCCAAACTCTTAACGGACGGTGCTGGCACTAATTGCGCCCCCGCAAGAGATGGGAGTTGCCCTCCCAATCCCATATCACCCCGTCCCAGCCACAGGACCTCTGTCTTTTAGGCCAGCGGTGCAATGAATGCATTCAAGTGTGTCCACATTAAGCATTCATACTGAGTCTTAATTGCATTTCTATTGCTTCTTTTTATTTATTTTATTTTTATTTTATCACATAACGATTTGAAGTCTACGGAAATACAATAAAATACAATATAATGAATAAAAGAAGCCATAAAAATGCAACCAAAGATCATATAGCACATTACCATTGCTGCAGCGGATAGAGAGAAGTGTGCGCCCCTCTCTCATAACACGAGAACTCACAGACATCCCATGAAGCTGAATGCTGGAAGGTTCAGGACAGGTAAACAAAGTCCTTCTTTCTTCACGCAGCTAAACCATGGAACGTGCTCCCAGAGGAGGATAAGGTTCCCAATGGCTCTGCTCGGCTTCTGCGGTCAGAGGCAGTCATGTTTCTGAGCCCCAGCTGCTGGAGGCTACAGGAGGGGAGGTGCTCTTGTGCTGAGGTTCTGCTTCTGGGTCTTCCTTGGGGGGCAACTGCTTGGCCGCTGTGCGAACAGAATTCTCGACTAGATTGGCCATTGGCCTGAGCAAGCAGGATCTTCTTATGTTTTCAGAACAGGCAGAAAAATAATTTAGAGGTCTGGGTGGCGCTGTGGGTAAAAGCCTCAGCGCCTAGGGCTTGCCGATCGAAAGGTCGGCGGTTCGAATCCCCGCGGCGGGGTGCGCTCCCGTTGTTTGGTCCCAGCGCCTGCCAACCTAGCAGTTCGAAAGCACCTCAAAGTGCAAGTAGATAAATAGGGACCGCTTACTAGTGGGAAGGTAAACGGTGTTTCCGTGTGCGGCTCTGGCTCGCCAGAGCAGCGATGTCACGCTGGCCATGGTACCCGGAAGTGTCTCCGGACAGCGCTGGCCCCCGGCCTCTTGAGTGAGATGGGCGCACAACCCTAGAGTCTGTCAAGACTGGCCCGTACGGGCAGGGGTACCTTTACCTTTACCTTAAGACCCTCAGTAATTTCCAAGTGGTCAATCTGGGGGGGGGGTTGGGAACCCCTCTTTTGGACTACAACTGCCATCAGCCGGAGCCAGTGCTCAAGTCCGTGGAAGGAAAAAATGAATGAAGCCTAAGGAGAGTTGTGCTAGAGAAGATCAGGGGTCATCAACCGATATGCCCTCCAGGTGTTGCTGAACTCCAACTGGCTGGTGGTGAGGGGTGATGGGAGCTGCAGTCTAGAAACACCTGGAGGGCCCCACGTTGGCTGCCTCTGGTCTACCTAGTCCAGCATCCCACAGCCTCTAAAAATCTACAAGCAGGACATGAAGACAAAGGCCTACTAAAGCTCCTCAGCAGGGATTGCTCCGTTGTGTCATTCCTTGGCACATGGAGCTCCTACCTAGCCACCAGGCCATGGCGAGACCAATCCTCCACAAAATGGTCTAAGCCACAACTAAAGTCATTTAAGCCAGCAGCCATCACCAAATCTTTGGGCAGAAGTTGGAGAGACAATTGGTTGCCACTTCATTTCTGGGCACAATTTAAGGTGCTCATACTAGTGTTTAAAGCCCAAAACGACTTTTGCTACCTTCCTCCCTGCCAATTTTCTCAGACAGATGTAAGATCAGCAGAGGGCCCCCCCCCCCGGTCGTTCCACCTTCTTCAGAAGTTTGGGAGGTGGTGGCCTGAGGGAGGACAATCTCTGTGGCAGCCCCACGTTGTGGAATTCCCTCCCCACAGAGCTGTGCCTGGCACCTTCACTGTCCTGCTTTCAGGGAACACTGAAGACAAACCTCTTTACCTTGGCATTTGGCACCTGAGGTATATATAGTTAGGAAGCACCTTATTTCTGTGGTTGTAATTTGCTTTACGTGCTTTTGATACTGAATTTTAAACTGCAACCTGCCCTCGGAATTGAGGATGAAGGGTGCATAATAAACTGACTAGACAATAATGATAACTCTGTGCACATACACCAACCGATTTTCCTGACTCGCTCCTCTTCCCTGGTGTTGCATCTGCAGTGCCTGCAGGAATCCTGCCCCATCTCCACCCAAGCGGGCAGCCGTGGTCCAAACGGGAGGAGAAAAGGGCAGGTCCCGGCACGGGTGGCATAAGGGAGCTGAGCCACAGCGCCACCTGGTGACCCACAACGGAACAAGCACATACCTGGCGTGGCATTTTTGTCATTCAGAAGCTTTGTCTGGCTGCTGGGGATGATTTTCGATTCAACGGTGTCAGGTAACTGTTGGGAGTTCTGTATCTTCGAGGCTATGAGAGCATTGCGATATTGCAACCGGGTAACCTGCGGAAAAGAAGCCACAGGTCAGTGAGAGATGATCTGCACCTCAGCCACCATCCGCTTGGAAATCACGGGGCTGGTTTGTTCTGTGTTCGCCAAGGGTCCCTGGCTAAGAGCAAAGAGGGGAAAGTGCCATCATCACACTCCGATCCTCCTTGCGGACCTCCCAGAGGGATGTGATTGGACGCTGCATTAGATGAGCCTTTGGGGTTTTTAACTGGTTATGCAATCCATTAAAGTTGCAACCCTAGTGATCTGTGATCACCAGAGAATCTTGCCAAAGTCTTGCCTGTACATCTTGCCTAGCTGAATGCGGCCCCCTAGGAGCTCAATATACCTCATATTCTTGCCGCTTTCCTGAGATTGCAAAAGCAGGGAGATGATCCAGTCCCCAGCAGGGCACTGGATTGCAATTTTCAAGATTGCAATTTGGTCAAAAGAAGGAACTTACTCAAGCAGGTCAGCCAAAGTCACAGACTATGGAGAAATGCTACAGATTTCCAAGAGAAATCCTATTTGCTGAACTGATTTCCAAAGATCTTTGGCTGGTGGCCAACAGCCTACTTCTCCAGAGTCTTTCTTTTTATGGTGTTTACCTTGATGAGCTGCAGATCAGTGAGTCCCCGGACAGTGGAGTCAGGACAGTTAGTGGTGGTCTCTGTGCTTTCAAGCTGCTGATCACCTGGGTTCATCCTGAGAGTGGACACTGGGGACTGATGAACTATTGAAGGAAAACACATCAGTGTTGCAAATGAGAGGCAGGGAGTTTAGGAATATGGCTTCTAACCCAGAACTCTGCAAGTCCTGCCTTTAAAAAAAAGAATGTTTTTTCAAGTTCTCATGAATGCAGCCGAAACAACAACTATCTAAACCTATTATCTGTTCTTGTTAAATGCAGGTCTGTAGCTTTTCCTGAATGCTCCCCTTCCTCTGCTGTTGTATGTTTAAAAAAGCCAACAATAAATGCCGATGGACAACCATGTGACTCAGCAGCTGAAGTGTGCAGGGGAAGAAGTCTGTGGATGCCTCTCTTGACGCTCAGGCTGCAGAGGGGGGAGCTAAAGGGCTTGCAGGGGTCCAATCTGTGGGCGGAGCCAACACTGCCGGTCCTTCAAGGCTGTGCTCGGTTCAAAACACAGGAGCATAAGAAACTGCCCAGTACCAAGTCAGAACCATCTAACACAGTGTGGTCTAATCACCAGCAGCGGCTCTCCAGGGTTTCAACACAGGGACACTCCCAGGGATTGAACCTGAGACCTTCTGCATGCAAAGCAGATGCTCTACCACTGAGCTACAGCCCTGGCCCTTTCAAAAAGTAGCCAGCAGCTCAAGCTCTGGTGCAAATCTCTCATCCCGAAAGGGCTCTCGGTAGCGGGGAGAGGTGGGAAGAAACGTGTGACTCACCTGAAGAAGGAGCTGTCAGGGCAGAGACACCCTAGTAATACGTGAAGGCTCCCTTCTCAAGCTTCAGTCCCTCCTTCCCAATCTCGACTTCAACCTTGCCCTGGGAAGGAGAAGAGAAAGCAATGCAAGGTGAGAGGGAGGGAGGGAGCAATGCAGAGAGAGGAGAAAGCAAGTTGAGATTTGACCTAGTTGAATCTTAGATCCTGATCCCATATTCTTGTAGCTCACTCAGCACAAGTTGGTTTGGTTTCTATTGCGTAAACCAACCCTTTTTTTAGTTTAAGACAGTCCCTGCTTTTACTTTAGTATTACCACTCTTGAGTTGCAAAAAATAAAGTTTTAATATGTTATGCATTAAAAAGAGAAAAGTAACAAACTAAGCACCTTTTACCCAACCTAAAGGCATAGTTCAGATCTAAATAACAATAGCAAAGTTCATATAAGCCCTGAAGAGGAGAGTCTGAAAGTTACTGATGTCAGTATAAAGGAAGACGTTAACACAACAGTATCTTACAGAATACGGCAGGTACAGTTTCCCCTGGAGGGTTCATGTGCTGGATAAATGGCCACTAATCCGCCATGGAAGTTTCTCATGGGGGGGGGGCGGGCGTTTGTACTGGGCAGCTTCTGCTAACTTGATGCCCTCCAGACCCCTGCAAGCACAGGCATACTAGCTGGGGCTGATCCGAGTGGAGGTCCAAAAACACTAATTTTTGTATCCAACCAAGTTCTACTCAGAGTAGACCTAATGAAATTAATGCACTTAAGTTAGCTGTGTGTATTAATTTCCGTGGGTCTATTCTGAGCATTAGATTGGATGGCCAGCGTTGCATACAGTTCTAGGCTGGCAAAGGTTACTGGAGGATTATGGTTTCCCTGATATGGCCCCTGTGGGCACCCCTTGACACACTCCCATTTTATTTTATTTGAGCAGTTTTTGGGAGGCCTGCGTTTTGTTTTGGGGTGTATGGAGGTGCTGGAGTGTGTTCTGAGCAACGCCGGTTTTTCCTCTGTGAAATGGATATTCTGTGGTGCCCAGAACAAATTCTTAGGTTTCCAAATGTGCTCCTGTGTCCAAAAGGCTGGGGACCTCTGTCCTAAGCCAACTTTACTCCACACCAAATTTTAATGAGGGTGTGGTTAACCTGCTAACACCCCTTCCTTAGTTCCACCTGCAAGGGCAGATTTTCTCTTTCTTTTCCCGAATTCCGTAAGGCAAGAGACAGTGACAAGACCGTGAGCAGATCCCTGCAGAGGCACGTGTGGTTCTCAGTCCCACGTCAGCTGATGACTCCATATGGCAGCACTGGCCAATCTGCCCCCCCCCCAGGTGCTGTGGGACCACAACTCAGCGGCTGCTGGCTAGGGGCTGATGGGAGTTGTAGTCCTACAACATCTGGAGGGCACTAAATTGGCGAAGGCTGCAATTCCAAGTGCATCTCCCTGCAATGGCCAAGCTAGTAGGTGAACCACTCTTAAAAACAACGCATCGCCACTCAGTGAAGGAAGCATTTTAGACTGTTATGGTTCTGGCTGTGGAATTGTCTCTCAGAGAATACCAAAAGCCAGCTGTCCTTGATCTGTACACTTTAATGTGGGGAAAAGGCTTTCAAAAGTCCCCACATTTGGCACTAAGTTCAACCGTAAGCTAGAATTGCCCCTCTTTCTCAACATTACCTGCCCACAAAGCAGCAGCCAATTCAAGAGACTGCCCCGCCCCTCATTGCGTGGGGTGCCTACAGCACCCAGCACCTTGGAGCAGCTGCTATAGGGTGGGGGGTAGTCCCCACACATGGGGATGCCGGGTGGCCATTCCAATGTCTCATAGTGCCCCAGACGAAGCACTGATCCAGGAGGAATTCAGGTGGTTCTCTGCCGCTGCCTGATAAGCCCAATAGCTGGAAGCCGCCCTGTTACTCTGCAGACTGGACTGGCAGCAGAGTCTTATTTCAATACTGGACCGTGGCTGCGAATATGCTGAGCATTTAATGCACGTCCCAACCCCCACAGCAAAGAACCTTGGGAACTGCAGATCGTCCCCCTCACAGAGATGCAATTCTCAGTCCCTTCAACAAACTACAGTTCCCAGGACTCTTGTGTGTTGGGGTGTGTACTTTAAATGCATGTCCTCCACCACACGCGGGGGCAGCATCTCAGTTTGGGGAGCACAGGGCAGGCTGCGTGGCACACATAGCTCCGCCCTCCAATGGAAGGGGAAAGTCAGGGTGCTGAAGAAGAACAGCCAGTGGGGCTGCCAGTGCTGTGCCCACCAGCATCTTCTGCCACTCTCTGACTAATGGCAGAGCCGGCTCTGCTCTTTGCACCGCCCTCCACCAGAGGTTCAGCCTCCCGTTGTGGACTGCCTCCTTCTCCTGCTGCCCCCAGGAGCCCCTTCTGTCTTGGGGCTCAGGGAAGAGCGAGGTGAGGCTGGCCCTCCTGCCGCCCCTCATTGCTCACTGGCTTAGAGGGGGCAGGCAGAGCAGGAGGGCTGTGGCCACGGCAGAGGGCCCCCTGCTTGGGATGACCTGCAGGTCAGACGCCTGCAGGTGCTGACCCCCAACACTGGGTCTGTTCCTCCCCCAACCCAACAGGGTCCTTTGTGTCCCACAGGTGGGTAACTCTCACTGGGAGGCAACGGGGCGCTTCTTTTCTTCATTGGCTTCCTACCCAAAGTGAGGAGGGATCGGGTTGGTCAGGGACCCATGGGGTGCCCCCACCCCACAGCAGCAGCAGCAGCAGGAGGAGGAGGTGGTGGTGGTTCATGAGGCAGCACAATGGACTGCACCACTTTGGACTTGGGTGAGGAGCCCTATTGCTGGGCATTTGCCTCACATGTGAAGCATGTCCGAGAGAGAGGTCTCTGGGCAGTCTTCTGCTGTGAAGGTTTCCTGGTCAGCACAGAGTTCTTGAGAGAGGGAAGCGCCTGAAAACATCCACTCCCTGCTCCCCCTGCTGCCATCTAAAGTGGCGCAACCCTCAGCACGCTCCTCCTGCTGAGCCTGAGGCCAGAGCTCCCTATGCGCAGAGCCCTATGCTCAGAGGCCTCTTCAGGCGCAGAAGTGAGCAGGAGGTGCACCAGCATGGGCTCCTGGGGTGGGCAGGCAGGATGGCGCCTGGACAAGCAGAAGCAGACCGTGCCAGCCAGGGCACAGACAACAGCCAGCTCCTGAAGGGACCAGCAACGGCCTGATGGACTGAGGTTGAGAGACCCTTCCCCAGGACCACCTCTTCCTCTTCCTCCTCCTCCTCTTCTTCTTCTCATCGTCATCATCATCATCGCACCCTCCACCCTCACGTCCCAGGGCAGGATACAACATTTAAACACATTATTAAAGCCGGTCCAAAGCAAGTTACGATCAAGGAATGAGGTAGGTCCTAAAAATATACATCTCAACTCTCCATAGCCCTGAGAGAAGGCATAAGCCAGGCAGCCCAAAACTATCGGCTCCAGAAGCCTGTCAAATAAATAAATAAAAATAATGCTATTACTATTATTTATGACACATTTTAACTGCTTGTCCTTTAAGATTTAAAAATGTGAACTGAA